TTCTAAATTATCCATCTTATATAATATCACTCATGTTAATATACTCGTTATATACTTTCACGAATAGTTAAACCGCCTGTTATTCAGAAGATATAAGTATAAAATAAGGAATGTAAAAATTGAAATAGTATAGATACTCCTCTATCTCTAAAAAGTAAGCATCTATCATCGATAGATGCTTACTGGATCCAAATTTATTTTATTACCTTTACTACAACACCTGCACCTACAGTTCTGCCCCCTTCACGAATAGCGAAACGTACTCCTTCTTCCATAGCTACAGGAGCAATTAATGTTACCTTTAATTTTGCATTATCACCTGGCATAATCATTTCTTTACCTTCTAACAAAGTAATTTCACCAGTAACATCAGTAGTTCTAAAGTAAAATTGTGGGCGATAATTAGTAGTAAACGCTGTATGCCGCCCTCCTTCCTTTGTAGTAAGAACATACACTTCAGCTTCAAACTCGGTATGCGGAGTAATACTTCCAGGTTTAGCTAGCACTTGGCCCCTGCACACTTCTTCTCGCTTAGTACCGCGTAGTAATATACCTACATTATCACCCGCCTCCCCTTGATCCAATAGCTTTTTAAACATCTCTACACCCGTACAGGTGGTCTTTTGAGTATCTTTTATACCAACAATTTCTACTTCTTCCCCAACTTTTACTATACCTTTCTCAATTCTACCCGTCACTACAGTACCCCGTCCTGAAATAGAAAACACATCTTCTATAGGCATTAGGAAAGGACGATCCGTATATCTAGTAGGCTGAGGAATAAATTGGTCAACTGCTTCCATTAGCGCCTTAATAGCAGCCTTTCCTTCTGGCTTTCCTTCTAGAGCTTGCAAAGCTGAACCTCTAATAACCGGTATTTTGTCACCATCAAAATTATATTGAGACAACAATTCTCTTACTTCCATTTCAACCAATTCAAGCAAATCTGGATCATCGACCATATCAACTTTATTCATGAACACTACTATCGTAGGTACCCCTACCTGTTTTGCAAGCAAGATGTGTTCTCTAGTTTGAGGCATAGGGCCGTCAGCAGCAGATACTACTAATATAGCACCATCCATTTGAGCAGCGCCAGTAATCATATTTTTTACATAATCGGCATGACCAGGACAATCTACGTGAGCATAATGTCTTTTTGCAGTTTCGTATTCCACATGCGCTGTTGAAATGGTAATACCTCTTTCTCTTTCCTCAGGAGCCGCATCAATTTCATCATATTTAGTAGCTTTTGCGCCCCCTTCTTCTGCTAACACTATAGTTATCGCCGCTGTTAAAGAGGTCTTCCCATGATCTACGTGACCTATAGTCCCGATATTACAATGAGGTTTTATCCTCTCAAATTTTATCTTCCCCATAATTTATTTCTCCACAATTTAAGGTTTAATACAATTTAACAATACAAATTTACCCAATTTCCAACAACTATTATTACACTTTTG